AATTTCCCTGTAGAGTGAAGAAATGGTATTTCCTAACCATTTCTTGTATTAAAGATATGCTGGGAACAAATTCTTTTAATTCTCCTCTACCCAAAAATATGTATTTTGTTTTAATTCTTGAGGGACATCTTTACTGAATATGGAATCCTGAATTGAAAGAATGCTTTTTCTTTCAGCACTTTGAAGATATCATCCCACCATCTTCTGGTTTTCATGAGTTTTTATAAAATCTTAACTGCCAATTAAATAATTCTTGTCCTGTATGTAATAATGTAATGTGTCATTTTCCCCTGGCAAATCTTAAGATTTTTCCTATATCTTTAGTTTTCAGCAGTGTGATGCTTTGGGACATGGAGGGTAGCTCTGTGATTATTATGTCTGTCGACATGACTTTCATTGAATTTGCCTTGATTGGGATTCACTGAGCTTCTTGAATTTATAAATGTATGCTGTTGCTGTTATTAAGTGCCCTTGAGTAAGTTCTGACTCATAGCAACCCTGTACAGGGTTTCTGAGGAGTGACTGGTGGGTTTGAACCGCCAAACTTGTGATCAAAGTCCAGTGCGTATCTTACAGCCCCACACTAAATTGAAAAAGTTATTGGCCTTTGTTTATTTAAATGTTTTCTGCCCCATTCTTCCTTCTTTTCCTCCTGGGACTCCAATTACTTATCTGTTAGAGTTTTTGAAGTTTCCCCATAAGTCTTTATGTTTCTGTTCATTTATTTCTCTCTCTCTCTTTCTTTTGTTGCTATTAAGTGCCATAGAGTTGGTTATGACTCATAATAATAATGACCTTGTATAAGGTTCCCAAGGGGCAACTGGTAGGTTTAAACCACTGACCTTGCAATTAGCAAGTGCGTAAAGTAATCACAGACCACCCACATAAAAAAATCCACCAGAAAAAGGAAATTATCCCTATGCCAATCAACTGTTTACTTTCCTACACAACTTATTTGATTATATTCATCAGAATCCTCAGGTAGCTGGTTTTTTTCTTTTTCTTTTTTTAACCAGAATGTATAATTATTATCAGTAGGAGAGTTAGTATGAGGATAGGTATACCAAGTTCACTTGTTCTTGGGGCCGTCACCATCCTTCTGTTCAACACTGATCAGAAATTCTTTATTTCTCTCTGAGAAAACATCTTTGACATCCATCTCTCTAGATAGTGAGCTCCAGGTTTATCCTTTTCACCATAATATTCTTAAAGCCTGGTGCAATAAATACTTGTCTAAAGGTATGAATGAATGGATGAGGTTTATCAGATCAATGACTTCTAGCCTTATCCTCATCTAACCCAGCAGGCTTTGGTCTTTCCCATCAGAATTATCAATATAAGTAGTCTTGAAATATTTGTTCAGAATAACACCAATGTGGCCAGATTTCTACTTCATATTTTTACTCAATATGTAATACTCAATTAGCATTACAGAAGTATCTGGGTTGTATTAAAGAGTTCTGTAACTTAGACTATATGCTTTCATTTAATACTATTAGATATGTAATTTCACTTGCAGTCTAGTTTTTTTATGAAGTCCCAAACATAGCCAAAGTTGTGAGTGTCTACACCAAAAAGTATAAAATAATACTACTGTAATACTGCTCATCTTGAAAACCCAGTAAAACAAGAACTAAAGCTTTGAAACCTGTGAGTGCCAGAACTTGACAGTATTGCCTTGTTTTTCTGGATCTCACAAGTTTTCTGCCTTTAATCGGGTGCAGTCTTACCACGTTTCTATTGCTCATTATTAGTGGACAATCTTTGCGTTTTCCTTCTATGACAAGTTCCTGTCATACATAGGTTTCAGCTTTCACAGACTTTACTGTATATTTAATGTGCTACTTAATGAAACTTTTAAAAAAAGTTTTTATTGTGAATTATGTGGGTTTATATGGGAGAAATCAGTTTTACATTTATCCTATCATATTTCATTTCATTGCAATGATCACAGTCCCCTCCTTGCTTCATCAAATAACCAAAGAATACACCCCACAGACCCGCCCCTGCCCCTCCTCTGGCCGTCAGCACACAACCCATCTCCCTCCCTGAGTCCAGTGTCTCCAGCTGCTCCATCTGTCCACGTCATCATCTCTTAATGAAACGTTTTTATTGGAAAAACATTGGAAGGTAAAAATAGCTTTTGTAGGGATACTGAAAGGAACTTCTGGAAATTTTCAAGGTCTCAAGAGGTCGATGGCACTGTTTTTTATGTGTAATTTAAATTCAGATCAAATGGCTTCCATAATTTTACATGTGTATAGCAATTGTATAACTTTTATGTTAGGTCAATTATTGGTTAAATCGAGGATGGAAGATAGAAAGGGAGAGGAAGAGAGGGAAAAAAGATAGATAGGAAGACTGAAAGATTCAGAATCAGAGAGAGACTCAGAGAAATATATTTCCCTGCAGTCTCTGAATAAGAATTCTAAGGCAGAATTTTTTAAAGATTAAAAAAGAAGCTGCCTAATTAACTTTTCAGTCTAGGAGTGGAGGTCCCTGGGACCATCAATGGAGAAGAGTGGAGAGTGGGACCCTACCCAGAGAAGCAGTGATGCCTGAGATGGAGGCAGAGAGGATGACATGGAGAGATAGAGCAGTTGGGGACTTTAGTCACAGAGAGGAAGAGGGGCTGTGTGCTGACAACCGGAGGTGGGGGGGGCGGGACAGGCTTGTAATGTATACCCTTTGGTTGGTTGATGATGCATGGAGGGGATTGTAACCATGGCAATGAAATGATATACAATAGAATGAATATAAAACTAATGTTCTCCCATGTAAACTATTACATAATTCACAATAAAGCATTAAAAAAAAAGAAGAAGAAGCTGCCTAATATGGAGTCCCGGTGTGCTGCTGTGGGTGAATGCACTGGGTTGCAAATTGGTTTGAACCACAAAGTTGGCAGTTCAAGCTTACCAGCCACCCTCAGAAACCCTATACAGGGTCATAATGGGTCAGAACCAACTCAAAAGCACTTAACAACAACAATATGGGATTAAATAATTGAGTGAATTAAGACGGAGATAAGGAGACAACCAAGTTGATTCTACCTGAGGAAGAAAAAAGGAGATCTTAAAATTATTCATCTAAATTCAGCACTGTTCAATAAAACTTTCTATGGTTATAAAAATGTTCTGTATCTATGCTATCTACGTTGGTAGAATTCTAGCCACATGTGGCTTTTGAACATTTTAAAAGGCTTAGTAAGGAGCTCTAGTAGCATAGTGGTTACAAATCGGGCTGTGAGCCACAAGGTCAGCAGTTCGAAACTACCAGCGGTCCGCAGGAGAAAGATGAGGCGATCTGCTCCCATAAAGATTTACAGCCTCGGAAACCCTGTGTAGGGTCTCTATGAGTCGGAACTGACTACATGGCACATAACAACAACAGTATGACTGAGGAACTGAACTTTTAATTTACTTAATTTTAATTACTTTTGATTTAAAATGATAGGGTCACTTTTGACAGGTGGCTACCGTATTGGACAATGACGTATCAGAGGGCTCCCTGCACCAGTCATGAGTGTGTGGTGGTGGTTGTGGTTACGTGCCATGGAGTCAGTTCCAACTCCTAGTGACCCAGCACAGGGTTTCTGAGGCTGTGAATCTCTGTAGGAGCAAGAAAACTTCATCTTTCTCCCATGGAACCACTGGTAGTTTCGAACTGCTGACCTTGAGATTAGCAGCCCGATTCATAATCACTATGCTACCAGAGCAGTGCCTATAGCTGATGGCTACCACAGAAGGAGGCAGTGAAGTCTGAGAAATAGGCACGTGGAGGAATTAAGGAGGAAGTCATGGGTATATTTAACAGCCATGTCATATATTCATTTTTTAGCATACTTTTAATAAGGTGGTCAACTTTATTTAGGTAAAGATAAAAATAATTGAAATTAACTACACAAATAACAACTGAAGACTTACACAGAACTAACTTGGACTGTTTTTGATAACTTTCAACATCAATATGGAAGATTCATAGAAGAGCATGAGAATGCTTTGTAATTTGGGCAGAGAATAGAGGGGTATCTACAGACAACTTTTTAGTTGTACTCAAAGGGGTTTGTGACCCTTCCGTAGTACAGTGCCTGGCATATGTCCAGCATTCCATTCATGTTTATTGAATGCATAGTGGTTATGAATCAAGCTGCTAATCTCATGGTCAGCAGTTTGAAACTACCAGCTGTTCTGCGGGCGAAAGATGAGGCTTTCTGCTCCTGTAAAGATTTACAGCCTCAGAAACCCTGTACAGGGTCACTATGAGTCAGAACTGACTCCACGGCACACAACAACAACATAGTAGGGCATGAGACAACAAGTCAGGAGTTCAGACCAGGAGATACCTGAGGTTGTTGGTGCTCTCACCCTCTCTAGGGCATACAGCATGGATGGTCAGACTGAGTTTAAGAGGCACAGAATGGAGAAATCTGAAGCCTCAAGACTGGATGAGGTAACCCCAAGAAGGAACACAGAGACTAAAGTATCAGACACAGGAAAAGGATAATGGGAAGAGATACCGTCAATTTACCATTGACCTGAGTTTGACATAAGGCAATCCCATGTGGTTCAGAGTGTAACTGTAACTCCATAGGGTTTTTAATGTCTGATTTTTGGATCTAGATAATTATGAGATATATCTTTTGAGTAGGAGTGAACATCCAAACTTTCAGTTAGAAGCCAAACACATTCAACTTTTGCACCACCCAGGGACTTCACATGGAAAAAATATTTACTCTTGTGGTAGGTATTCCATCACCTGTCATCCTTCTTGCCATAGGCTGTCTAGATTGAATAAGAATATATCAGATGATATTCAGTTTCTCTCCATACCAAAGACAATCAAAATCAATCTCTCTCACACACATATACATAAAACAATCATGAAAAACTTTTACTATATTTTGTGTGTGTGCCCCAAATAATAAAATACCCTGGAGATTTAGGGAAATACAATAAAGGGTCATAATAAGTAATAATGAAGTTATTCATTTTTTTCAGATGTTCTTCAGTTTCTGTGAAAAAAACGTGGATTATGAAACTTTTAAAGCATTAAATGATGCATGTCTTGTCTATGATGGCCGACTTGTGATTGATACCAACTTCCACACCAATGATATAGCCATCAGAGCTGCTGGTTCCCTCACCAAGTTCTCCAATCGATACTATTCCAATGAATGGACTCATCGCAGCTTCAATTCCAAAGAAATTGGCTTTCAGCTTGCAGCAGCTATGCTCAATCTCTTTGACCCAACTCTTGAGCCTATAACTGAGCCACCAGCTGACCTCGATCGACTTATCCCCATGTACAAGGGAGCCAAGATGCAAGGTATGGAAATAAGCTACCTTCTTCTTAGATGAAGCCACCAGTTGGATTTGGGTCAGCATTTAGATTGCCCCTTCTTGTTTCTCTTTAGATTGGATGAGGGTGCTTTTCAGGCTCTTCACCATAACAGAAAGGTCTCTCTCATTTTCATGCAGTTATTATGATCCTTTGCATTATTATTATTACTAGGGGTCTTTGAACTTTAAGCATGTATTATTGCACATGTCATAACCGTGGTCCCCATTTTACAGATAAGGAAACTGAGACTAGGGAGGGAGTGTCAGTATGCCCTAAAACCTTACCCAAAGCTTCCATTCACACTATAAATTCAGAGGTAAGGAGATCATTTCAAGCTAGCTATGACCTAAGCCTGCTATCTGGGTGGGTAAGTTGAGCCATTTGCTGATGCTGAACAGTCCATTTTCATCTCCTAAGCTGGGGTGCCACCACTCACCTGTCTGCCATACTGTATTGGCTCATGTGTTGCAATGATGCTGGAACTTCTGCCACCAGTAATTCAGAGTAATCTAAGGTGGACAGGTTTCAACAAAGCTTCAGATTAGAAGACTAGGAAAGGGGAATAGGCAGTACACTTCTGAAAAGCTAGCCACTGAAAACCTTATGAACAGCAGCAGAATCGTGTCTGATATAGTGCCAGAAGATAAGCCACTGGGGTTTGAGGTCACTCAAAATATGACTAGGGAAGAGCTGCTTCCTCAAAGAAGAATCCACTTTAATGGTGTGAATGGAGGAAAACTTTCTGGACCTTCATTTCCTGATGTGGCATGACTCAAAATGAGAAGAAGCAGCTACAGATACCCATTATGGAATGCATCAAATATAAATGTAAGAAAGCCAAAAGTCATCCAAAATCAAATGGAACACATAAAGACTGATATCCTAGGCATTAGTGAGCTGAAATGAACTGATATTGGTCATTTTTAATCAATTATATGATCTATTATGCCAGGAATGACAAATTTAACATAAATCACATAACATTCATTATCAAAAAGAACATTTCAAGATCCATTATGAAGAACAAGGCTGTCAGTGATAGGGTAATATCCATACCTCTACAGGGAAAAACCATTAATAGGACTATTATTCAAATTTATACACCAACAACTAAACCAATTATGGAGCAATTGAAGATTTCTACCAAATTCTGAAGTCTGAAATTTACCAAACATGCAATCAAAATCCATTGATAATTGCTAATGATTGAAATGGAAAAGCTAAAAAGCAAAAGAGGAAGGACTTTGTTGTTGTTGTTGTTGTTGTTGTCAGGTGCCATCGAGTCGGAACCGACTCATAGAGACCCCATGCACAGCAGAACGAAACAATGCTCGATCCTGGGCCAACCTCACCACCGCTGCCACCCCCGAGTCCATCAATGATGCCACCTGGCAGATCCATCTCGTTGGAGGTCTTCCTCTTTTTCTCTGACCCTCCACACTACCCAGCATGACATCCTTCTCCAACGATTGTTTCCTCCGGACTACATGTCCAAAGTAGGAGAGACGAAGCTTAGCCATCCTGGCCTCCAAGGAGCACTCTGGCTGCACTTCTTCCAAAACAGATCTATTGGTTCTTTTGGCAGTCCATGGCACCCTCAGTATTCTCCTCCAACACCACAACTCAAAGGCATCAATTCTTCTACGATCCTCCTTATTCACTGTCCAGCTTTCGCATCCATATGAGGCTATTGAAAACACAATGGCCTGGGTCAGGCGCACCCTAGTCCTCAAGCTGACATCTCTGCTCTTTAATACTTTAAAAAGTTCCTGTGCAGCAGATACGTCGTCTGATCTCTTGACTGCTACTTCTGCGAGTGTTGATAGTTGATCCAAGAAGAATGAAGTCCTTGACAACTTCAATCCTTTCTCCATTGATAAGAATGTTGTTTATTGGTCCAGTGGTGAGGATTTTTGTTTTCTTGACATTGAGATGGACTAGTAGTTGGAAAATAAGGCCTTGAAGATAGAAATGAGGCTGAAGATCTTATGACAGACTTTTGCAAGATCAAGTACTTCTACATACCAAATACCATTTTCAACAACATAAACCATGATTATATGCATGGATCTTGCCAGACAGAATACACAGGAGTCAAATCTAATAATCTGTGCAGAGGTGATGGAGAAACTCAACATCAGCAGTCAGAACAAGGCCAGAGGCCAATTGTGGAATGAGACACCAATTGCTCATTTGCAATTTCAGTGTGAAGCTAAAGAAAATGTAATCAAGTCCATGAGCGCCAGCCAACGTGTTTAAATTTTCTTTAGCTTCACCCTGAAGTTACAGATGAGCATTTGGTTGGTTGTTCCATACTCAGCTCCTGTCTTTGTTCTGACTGTTGATGTTCAGCTTCTCCATCAACTGTTCCACAGATATATTAGAAGTCCATGACAGTCAAACAGTCCTGGTGTGGCACTGTGAGATAAGCACTGGGCTGCCAGCCACAAGGTTGGCCATTCAAACCCACCAGTCATTCCCCAGAAACCCTTCATGGGATCGCTATGAATATGAACCAACTCTATTTCACTTAACAACACAACAATGAGAGCCTAAATACAACCTTGAGCATATCTCACTTAAATCTAGAGACCATCTCAAGAATAGATTTCATGCACTATATCAGACAATATCCTACTGCCTGTTTCATTTACTAGTCTGTCTTGATGCATTGAATACTAATGACCAAAGACCAGAAAAGTTGTAGGACATCAAGAACATCGTAAATGAAGAAAGCAAAAGGTCATTAAAACACAAGAAAGAAAGACCAAAATGGATGTTAGAAGATACTCTGAAACTTGCTATAGAACGTTTGTTATTGTTGTTAGATGTCATTGAGTCAATACCAACTCATAGTGACCCTGTATACGATAGAACAAAACATAGCCCTGTCTTATACCAACATCACAATCGTTGCTCTGTTTGAGCCCATTTCTGTTGCCCCTGTGCCAAGCCATTTGATTGGGGGGTCGTCTTCTTTTTATCCAACCCTCCACTTTACCAAACATGATACCCTTTTCCAGGGACTGGTCCCTCCTGAAAATGTGTCCAAAATATGAGAGATGAAGTCTGCCCATCCTGACTTCCAAGAAGCATTCTGGCTATACTTCTTCCAAAACAGATTCTCTTGTTCTTTTGGCAGTCCGTGGAACGTTTAATAGTCTCCTCCAGCACCAAACTGAAATGCTTCAGTTCTTCTATGGTCTTCCCTATTCACTGTCCAACTTTAACATGCATATGAGGTTATTGAAAATACGAAGGCTTGAGTCAGGCACAACCTTAGTCCTCAAACTAACATATTTGCTCTTTAACACTTTAAAGACATCTTGTGTAGCAGATTTGCCTGATATAATACACCATTTGATTTCTTGCTTGCTGCTTCCATGAGTGTTGATTGTTGATCTGAGCAAAATGAAGTCTCTGAAAAGTTCAACCCTTTCTCCATTTATGTGGATGTTGTTTATTCATCCACTGGTGAGGATTTTTGTCTTCCTTACATTGAGGTGTAACTTATACCAAAGGCTGTGGTCTTAGATCTTCTTTAGTAAGTATTTTAAGTCTTCTTCGCTTCCAGCAAGCTAAGTTGTATCATCTGCATATTACCAGTTGTTAATGAGTCTTCCTCCAATCCTGATGCCACACCTTTCCTCATATAATCCAGTTTGTTGGATGATTTGCCCAGCATACAGATTGAATAAGTATGATGAAAGAATACAACCCTGTCTCACACCTTTGCTAATTTTTAACCATTCAGTGTTCCCTTGTTCTGTTCAAACAACTGTCTCTTGGTCTATGTACAATTTTTTCATGAGCACAATTAAGTGTTCTGGAATACTCATTCTTCACAATGTTGTCCATAACTTGTCATAATCCACACAATTGAAAGCCTTTGCATAATCAGTAAAGCACAGGTAAACATCTTTCTGGTATTCTCTGCTTTTAGCCAAGAACCAGCGGGCATCAGTAATGATATTGCTCGTTCCCTATCCATATCTGAATCCAGCTTGAACCCCTGGCAGTTCTCTGTCAATGTATGTTTACAGCTGATTTTGGATTATCTTTAGCAGAATTTTACTTGTATGTGATATTAATGATATTGTCCTATGACTTCCTCTTTCTGCTGGGTCATCTCTCTTTGGAAAAGGCACAAATATAGATCTCTTCCAGTCAGTTAGTCAGGTAGTTGTCTTCCAAATTCTTAGCATAAATGAGTGAATGACTCCAGTGCTTCATCAGTTTGAATGAGTTGAATATGAATTCCATCGGTTTTTGGAACCTTGTTCTTTGCCAATGCCTTCAGTGTACTTTGGATGTCTTCCTTTAGTATATGGTTCTTGCTTATATGCTACCTCTTGAAATGGTCGAACACCAACCATTTCTGTTTAGTACAATGATTGTGTATATCTTCCACTATCTTTTCATGCTTTCTGCATCATTTAATACTTTTCCTATGTTATTGTTGTTGTTGTTGTCAGGTGCTGAGTCGGAACCGACTCATAGCGACCCCATGCATAGCAGAATGAAACAATGTCTGATCCTGGGCCAACCTCACTACCGCTGCCACACTTGACGCTATCAATGATGCCACCTGGCCGATCCATCTCATTGGGGGTCTTCCTCTCTATCTCTGACCCTTCATCTTACCCAGCATGACATCCTTCTCCAGCGACTGTTCCCTCCTGACAATATGTCCAAAGTATGAGAGATAAAGTTTAGCCATCTTGGCCTCCAAGGAGCACTCTGGCTGCACTTCTTCCAAAACAGATCTATTGGTTCTTTTAGCAGTCCATGACACTTTTAGAATTCTCCTCCAACACCACAACTCAAAGGCATCAATTCTTCTATGATCTTCCTTATTCACTGTCCAGCTTTCACATCCATATGAGGTTATTGAAAATACCATGGCTTGAGTCAGGTGCACCTTAGTCCTCAAGCTGACATCCTTGCTCTTCAACACTTTAAAAAGATCCTGTGCAGTAGATTTG